GATAATAAATTATTAAAATATTTATGTGAAATTATTTTAATTTTCACCCTCAATATTTAATAATTAGAAAGATTCTAATATTCAACTATTTATTATAATAAGAAATGTAAACGGCGTAATAAATTTTACTTCACGTCTTTGATATCAAAGATATATCCTTTTCTTCATATCTAAAAAAAAAATTCCCGCAATCCTTTTAAAATATAAATTATTTAGCCCTTTTTTATGACTATTAATGACAAAATAACTGTTATGGAACCGATTTTTTTAAAAAAATCCTATTTAAATGTTCATATTCAACTAACCAAAACCGGTTACGAACAGTTTCTGCAAAATATGCCGCACGCATGGTTTTGATGTATGAATTAACTATCCCAAGTCTTTTGTCTCATTATTGTACTAAGTAAGATTTTCACTAGTCATTATTATTATGGTATAGACATATATTAAACTCAGTTTGTACATTATTAGTTATTTCAGAATGAAACATCGGTGGGGAAATGCCACATTAATAATTTTTTACCCAGCTTAAAAAAAAAGTATTAATATTGTGTATACACAACTCATAGCGAATCTCGCTTTAACGGATATGTTCCAGAAAAATTCATCCGCTAAATCGAGAAGCGAGATATCTTGACCTTATAATAAAATCACATGATATCAGTTATATACTAATACTAAAAAGTTGACAAAATAAATAAATTCATTTTTATTATATCAAATATTTTCTTGTTTGTACTTTTTCTTGAGGAATTCCTCTTTTTAATTTATTGACAATTCTAAATCAATATTCTAATTTTTACGTTATCCATTGTATCTAGGTATTATGAACGGACATATATATCTTGAACTAAAATCAAAAAAAAGTTTTTTTAGATTTCTCTTGAAAATCTCAAATCAGGATCATTATCACCACCACGTCTTTTAAGCATCATGGTATATTGAAGTCATTGTGATGATATTGCATTATTATAAACATTTCGTTATATAAAATTTTTATGAATCAAGTCTTTTATACCAGTACTGTGTGGACATTCAAATAATATCCTTGTAATTATGACTAATGATGGCAAATATATGTTTTAAAAAATGGGAAAGAACCATAAACTTGCTTAATGTAATCTGAAAAATCTCAATTTATTGGTCTTTTCAAAGGTGGCCGGTCATACAAGAGACATTCTTGATTTCTCAGTTCCAACGGTGATTCAGCGTTATGAAAATTATTAAAAAAAATATTTGAAGGAAATTGTTGCTGATAATAATAAACTGTTTCTAGTGACCTCAATCGATCTGCTGGCTTAAAATATTTTATAAGAAATCAATGCAGCATAAAACACTTTTTAATAAAACACAATGACAAAAACAATTTTAACGGTGTATTGATAGATTAAACTGGACCATAAGACAATAGAGAGGTGTCATATTGAATGATTAAAGTCGTTTACAATATTTAGTGGATACGAATTTGGCGCGAAAATGGGACTCGTTTTAATATTGAAACTTATGGCTTAGTAATAGTGTTATTTTACAACTAAACTGTTGATGGGAGTAGAGGGGAAAATGAACCATAAATATTATATAAATATTTTAGAGGACGATTTGTTGTCATTCATTCATTACAAATTTTCTTCATTATAAATTTCAAGACTGCCCATACAGCCAAAACGTTATAAAATGTTTATCTGGAAAAAGGACAATGATTCCGGAAAATTGACATTCTCAATCTCCTGACCTTAATCCAATATTAACACCTATGGGATGAGCTTTCTAGAAGATTAAAAAAACCATATTATGCGTTCGAAAATAAAGATGAATTAGAAAATCTTTTGAGAAAACAAATTTTATACGAAATAAGGATACCGGCTGCAACTTTTGTGATGGTTGCTACATCTTTGCGTCATATAAAAATGATTGCAACCACCTTTACAACCATTTTGTTCCTTTTTTGGGTTGCGACATGGAACACTAATACGAAAATTACCAGATGAATGTCAAAAATAAGCGGCCAACTAATTATTAAAAGAGAAAAGAAAAATCAATTTCACAATTCGATATCACTTTTTTGTTTTTTCAAAGAGCAAATAATACATGTGTTTATAAGAAACGGTGCTTTTAAATGACATAAAAATCGCAAAAATTGATTTTAAAGTGCAAAAGAAATTTGGATACAAACCTTTATTCACCCAGTATATCTTTTTGTCTAATTAATCAAATGGTGGCATGCTAGATTTGGGTTAATTGAGGAATGTGTTTTCAGATAATAAATGTGTCCACTTTAGAAAAGAAAGAAAGAACCTTCGCGTAAGCTGGTTCGCAAGCTGGCTACGAGGAGCTTTATCCATAACAAATGCTCATTAATTGTTAATTTTGTCATGAAGTTTATAAATAGTGTTTTTTTTTTTCAAAGTTTATAATTATCCGTTTAACAGTTTTCACATTATTGTATATTAATATTTTAAAAAATGAATACTCACTTCGGAAGGATGCCAACAAATAATATATTTACTGAAATGGACTATATAAACATTGGAAATGGTCATTATTATGGAATATGGAGGTTTTAAAGAGTATTTTAGTATGTTTTGCAGTTACAACTACTAGTTAATTGATGATTATGGAAAGTCATTGTTAATTACCAACGATTATTTTTCAAAATATGACAATTTGTTTGGAATCCAAGGAAATATATTGGAGATTTTGATGTTATTTGGTATGATGTTAAATTATATTATATACAAATAAGCCTGAATTTTATAAACTTACAAATTCTTATATCAAACACATCATCAATATCAATATTGTTTTTCAACAATGATTACATTTCATAATTCTTCACAATCTCATTACCAAAGTCACAATAATACTCAACATGATCATTATTAAATTGAAGAATTTGAAATTATTGAAATGTTGAAGTACTTTTTTGATTAACAGTAAAAAAATACATAAAATAAAAAAAAATGTTAAATTCATTCTTCGATTTTTTAGTTAATTTTATTAACGTGATTGTTGGCATGTGATGCAATAACTGGTTTATTGTATGTTGGAGTAAACACTTATTCAGAGCTTAAAATGCAAATTCTTTTTTATCATTATTAAATAATTTTCAAATCCTAAATTTTATTGTTCCATTCATAAAAATGCCAAAAGCAACACGAGTAAGTAAATAAATATTTGTTTGTTGTATTGTCAAATTGTAAACTAAAATTCTTGTCTGTTGTACCATAGAAACAAATACCACCCAACCTTGACATGTCATTTCTTCCAACTGATCAACTAACAAAAGACATTCAAGAAGCTGGTATACCATTACCGTAAAGTCTAGAAAGATAGCATCCCCCTTTTACATGTGTAACATTTTTTTTACATTGATGCTCAATTGTTTTAAAGTAGGGAGTGCTATCTTTCCAGACTTTACGGTAACTACGAAAAAAAATACTGAATTCTGGGGTTAAGGTTTTAACTAACTATAGAGAAAACATCATAATGGAATTCCAATTGAATTGGTTAATGACAAAAAAATATTAGAAAAGCAATTATGTGAATTTGTTGTTGGTGTGCGAAGAGATGATGGCGAAGAATATTTGCCATTAAAAAATTGTATGGCTGCAATTGATAGACATTTGAAAAGTCACAGTGTAATTAAAGATCAAATTACTTTAAATGGAAATGCATGTGAGCAAAACTATCCAGACTTATATAAAACTTTAAATGGAAAGCTATGTGATCTTAAGGAACAGGGTAAGATTTCTACAAAGAAGGCTGACACACTTTCACCAGATGAAATCAAACAAATTCTGAATCACCCATCAACATCAAAAGATACACCCAAAGGTCTCTCTAGGAGAGTGTTTATATGGGTCTGTTTAGTATTTTGTCCTCGTGGTGGTGAACATACAAAAATGTTAAAATGTCAGTTTGATATATGTGATGATATGGTCATTTTCACCAAATTTCATCAAAAAAATGATCAAGGTGGTCTTGATGGTAATAATGAATCACTAAATATCCCATGTCCACATGATAAAGAACATCAAGGAGCTTATGATGACATTATATCTTATTTGAGTAAACAACCAACACCATGTATTACAAAAGAGTTTTATTTACAAGTTAATTCATCCAATTCAGGCTAGTTGTTTTATTTATATTTCACTTTTCATGGTGGTTAGTTTTTCAAAACTAGTGCATCTAATAAATTTTATGATTTTAGCAATCAATGATGATGTATGGTATCTTGATCATAAAATTGGAACTGAGAAAATCAAGAATTACATGAAGACAATATGTTTCAATGCTGGTATAAATCTAAATGGAAGAAAAATAGTCAACCATTCTGGTTGTGCTACTAGTCTAAATTGGTTATATCAAAGTGGTGTTGATGACACACAAGTGATGACAATCTCTGGTCATAAAAGTCTCAAGGGCGTGAGATTGTATATTGCACTCACTATATATCAAAAAACTAGTAAAATAAGCAATGTTCTTCAAATGGCATTAACACTGCAAGAATCATCAACTTTGAATAAAACACCTCAAAAAAATACAGGTTCAGACATAAGTCATTTTAAATCTTCTAAAAATTAATATTTACATATATATTTTATTTTTTATATTTTGCATTTTCTTTAGAAACATGTTAAATTTATCGATTCTTTTGATGATGAAGAGCCTGAAGATATCAAAGATAATTCTGATGTAAATATATATATATATTTCATTCATTCAAAATAATCTTATTTCCATTTTTTCAAACAGGAGCCAGATGACATGAGTGATAAAGGCAGTGGTGTTAAATCATTAGGTGTAAGTATATGATAATATGCACAGAAGTATATGGATTTCTATTTTATTGTATTAATTATATTATTTTATTTTAGAAATTTACACATGTTACTCAACCATATAAAAATAAACCATTTCACTCACCCTTAAGAGAAATTGTCAATGATGCTATCAATAACAACACTCAAACAGTAAATAGAGATCTTTCTAATAATAACAGCAACCAAACCAATAATATTAATGTTAAAAATATTTATTATAAAAATTGCTACATAATTAATAAATGAATTGATAAAAATAAAAATGCAAAAATTTTAAGAACTAAATAAATAATAAAATAACAATAAAAACATTCTTATTGTTTGTTAAAACACTACTAAATATAAAATTGGCACTCCAAAATTCCCAGACATTCCAAAATTTCAACAGGCATTCCAAAATTTCCAACTGACATTCCAAAATTTCCAACTGACATTCCAAAATTTCTTGTTTATTAGATGTAACATTTAATAATAGAAATAAAAGAATATACATTTTAAACTCAGAATTAGTGTTTTAAACTCCGACATTCAATAAATGTGTTTATAATTACAACTAACCAAGTTATTCCTTTTACCCATTAAATATAATATACATACATAGATGTGTTTATAATTTATAACTGATCAAGTTATTCTTTTATCCATTAAATATAATTAATATACACAAATAAATATGTTTATAATTTATAACTGACCAAGTTATTCCTTTTACCTATTAAATACAATATACACACATAAAAATCACTTTACAGAAACTCGCATTTTGTTTGAGATATAGAAAAGATATCTTAGAGTTATGTCTGAGATACATCATGACGATGTCTTAAAGATATAGTTATGTCTGCCATAACTATATCATAATTATCGCATATAGATATCTTTAAGATTTTTTTATTAAAAATTGTTTACTCAAAATGATGACTTTACGAGTTAATAAAGTTTACTGTAAGATTTATTATATTTTTATTTAAATGTCATATAGTTGTTTTTTAGTTACTACAAAGATAAGGTAAAGATATTAAGAAGATATCATTAAATTTTATAAAAGATACACCCTGTAAAAAATATACTCCGTGATTGGTCTCTGGTTGTACACCACCAGATCTAAAAAAAGTGATTAATAATTAATAGTATAATTTTATTACAAGAGTATACCAACTATAATTTTTGATGCTGAATTTTCTACCTATTTTCTAAAAATAAATAATTAATAATAAATAAGATATGGATGCGTAACATTCTTTCTGATCATACACCACCAGATCTAAAAAAAGTAATTAATAATTAGTAGTGTAATTGTTATTATAAGAATATATCAACTAGAATTTTTGATGCTGAATTTTCTACCTGTTTTCTAAATATGGCCGCGTAACAATTCTTTCTGATCGTACACCACCAGATCTAAAAAAAGTGATTAATAATTAGTAGTGTAATTGTTATTACAAGAATATATCAATTAGAATTTTTTGATGTTGAATTTTCTACCTGTTTTTTAAAAATGATAAAATATGGCCGCGTAACAATTCTTACTGATCGTACACCGCCAGATCTAAAAAAATGATTAATAATTAGTAGTATAATTGTTATTACAAGAATATATCAATTAGAATTTTTGATGTTGAATTTTCTATATACCTATTTTCTAAAAATAATAAAATATGGCCGCGTAACAATTCTTCTGATCGTACACCACCAGATCTAAAAAAAGTGATTGATAATTAGTAGTGTAATTGTTATTACAAGAATATATCAATTAGAATTTTTGATGTTGAATTTTCTATATACCTATTTTCTAAAAATAATAAAATATGGCCGCGTAACAATTCTTCTGATCGTACACCACCAGATCTAAAAAAAGTGATTGATAATTAGTAGTGTAATTGTTATTACAAGAATATATCAATTAGAATTTTTGATGTTGAATTTTCTATATACCTATTTTCTAAAAATAATA